ACGTACGTACGTACGTACGACGTACGTACGACGTACGTACGTACGACGACGACGACGACGACGACGACGACGAGAGAGAGAGAGAGAGAGAGAGAGAGAGAGAGAGAGAGAGAGTTTTATAAATGTGATCTTAATTTCAAATCATCCCTCATATTTTGAGAAATTGATTTTCAAAAAAAAAACTCATTTTGCTTAGTAAAATTATGGTTTTTTGTCAATGTGGGAAGTTTTTTTCTATATTGCTTAGTAAAATTATCTTTCGAATAAAATTATGTTTCTTGATGAATATGGGAATTATTTTTCTATTTTGCTTAACAAAATTATTTTTTTGATAAATTTGCTGTTTTTTAATAAAATTATATTTTATGATGAATATGGGAAGTGGTTTTTAATTTTGCTTAGTAAAATCATTTTTTTGATAAACTTATGGGTTTTTAATAAAATTATGTTTTATGATAAATAAGGGAAGTGTTTTTCTATTTTGCTTAATAAACTTATTTTTTGATGAAATTATTTGATCTATTGTTCTTATTTTTGATAATATCAATGCACAGCACACTGATATGTTCTATTGTTCTTATATGCATCTACCATATCCATATAAGTATACCGTGTATTGATTTTCCGTTTTATTGTGTATCATGAGATGTATTTTTGTGAGGTATGACTTAATTAACTTCATCAAAAAAGTATTGTATGGATAATTGTGGGGATTTCTGTGCTTCCCTTAAATTCGAGATTTTTTCCATATTTTAGCTTAGTACGGGATCTCGGTAGGGCGTTTCAAATAATTTCCCATTCACAATTTCAAACCTACCATTTTGGTTGATGGTTTCCTAAATTGAGCCCTAGGGATAATTTCTTGTATTTCCTAATAGATCTAGACAATGGTTATGATCCCTAGTGGTTTAGGTTATGGGTTTCTAGGAATATCCTCACTAAACAATAAGGGGGCGCGGGGTGTGTCTTTAGTTGGTCACAATGCTATGAGAATGGCTTCATAATCTTCTTTGGTGTGGTGAGAAAAACTAAGCAATTCGATATTTCGGCTCATTTGAGGAAGATTTTGGACTTTAAAAACAATTAATATAAAAATTAGATGTTTATATATAAAAACAATAAAAAATACAAATAAAAATTTCATATAAATAAAAAATATTTTTATATAGATATTTCTTTGATTTGGCTAAATCCGCTGAAAGTTGACCACTTTGTTTCGCTTCGGTCTATGGCCAAAGTGAAGCTAATCTAGCAATACTTTGTCATTTAGATTCATTAAGGGTCACCTTGGGGATTTAGTTTATTGAAACAAAGGGAGTCGTGCACGCCGTAAATCAAGTTGTGGGTGGAGGAAAAGAAGGCCGGGGGAGGGGGTTCTAAGGGAGAGGAGGGGTGGAGTGGGGGTGGGGGTGGGGGTGGGGGTGGGGGTGGGGTTGGGTGTGGGTTGGGGTGGGGTGGGGCTGTTCTGAAGATTTGTCCTAATAGCAATATCGAGCGGTTGTTTTAGGGCCATAAATAGCCATATGTGAATGGTGGTAATTAGTTATTTTCCGCATAATCAATGAGAAATATTTTTTGTACTGTTAACAATAGGAGCCAGCTATGAGTTCCTATTTCTGTATTTTTAATGTTGAATGTTAAAAAATTTCATTAAGATAGTGAAGAAATACAATAATGAAATCAAACAAACAAAGAACTCAAAAAAGGAGGAAAAACTCCAAAAGTTCGTATTATAGTAAAAAATTAAAAACAATAAATAAATACAAAGAGAAGAGAAGATATGAGCTTATATTTACTTAAACAAGAATGTGGTGGCAGTGCAAGCTAGCATGCCACCCGTTCTAGTGAAACTCTCACGATTTTATTACGGGTGCGCAGTTTTTTTGTTTAGATAATTCAATGGGAAAGACACTTAGCCATTTCTTTCAAATAGTTTATAGGTTTTTGAAAGTGTTAGTGGAATGGTGTCAAATAATTTAGGAGTTAAAGCTTTTGAAAGTGTTAAGGAGATCGTAGGGAATAGAAACCACAGTGTGGCGATTAGAGTGTGAGGTGCTACCACCACGACCTTAGCCCCTTTCCAAGAGCTGAGTTCAACTAGGTGTGAATGGTTAACTTTATTTGTGCTTGGTATACGTTACCAAGGATTTTGACTTTATAGCACTTGTTTGTAATTTTGTATTACAGTGGATGGAATTGGGATTTTTATGCAAGACCACACTTTGAGAGCTCTAAAGGCTGAAAAGGACGCAAGTTGAACATGTTTGTAGTCTAGGAAGGAGGGGCTGGTGAAAGTGAGACCAATGTGATCTTTTATCGGGAATTTTTTTTTTTTTCTTTTTTTTCCTATTTTTGTTTTGGCAAAAGATCACTTACAACAAAATAACAATTCCTCATGCTTGAGAATATAAAGATGAAGTTACAAGAAATAAAAGTAGAGAGTGCCAGAGATTACCTCAACCAGGCTTATTATACCCCACACCGAGTCACCACCATCCGATAGTGCGGGATCAACGATATTCCTTCAATCTCAACCGGAAAAGCTAGTTTAGGCCAAACCCTTCAATGGGAAAGCTAGTTTACGCCAAGCCTTCAATGGAAACCTTACGCTCTCAGAAAACCCTTAAGTTGAATTCTCCCAAATAATACTCCAAAAATTCCCCCTTCACTATTTTTTCCCAAACCCTAGGTTTAGAAAAAAATTAGAGAGAGAAGGTTTTGTCCAATACTACTCCAAAAATTCCCCCTTCACTATTTTTTTCCAAACCCTAGGTTAAATTCCCCCTAGAGAGGCAAATAGGGGAGAGAGGTGGGGCGTGCCCCTTTTTGAGAGGAGAGAGAGAGGGCTCTTTAGGGATGGATCGTGCCCCTTTGTCAACCTAGAGAGAGAGAGAATAGAGATTGGTGTAGATAAAAGAGGATAGGAGATCCTCTATTTATAGTGAAAATATGGGTCTAGGGTTTCCATTGTTTGCCTCAAAAGA